TGTCCACGTTACTAGGACAATACTCTTACACACCATTGTAATAACTTAGATTAGACAGAATTTCAAGTAAAAGTTATCACAACCCAAGTGTTAGAAGATAATTAGTTAAAATAATGGGATTCTAAGAAAACTTTTTTTAAAAATGTTGTTTGAGCTGAAACATAGGTCAAAATCAATTAAATATGATAATGGAAGCATTGAAATCAAAATAGCACCTAACAAGCTTAAAACAAACAGTAGATTGCTGTCATAACAACACTTCGAACTTTCAAAGCAGGCTGCTTCGTCATTCGATATCTGATTTGAGCAGTTCAAGTGTCCCACAAAAGCTCTTCAAGCTCTCTAGCTAATGACACTGATTTCACACTCAATAAATCATCCATTTAAATATGGACACCTAAACCTAAAATGATTTGTTTTCCACCTCAAACATTTTCAATGGTGCCCAAAACACACTATCTAATGCCATTAGCTCCAAAACCACTTTGGTCACCTCAAATGGACCACACACAAACAAAATAAACCATTCATGTCACACTAATAAACATCCATACTCAAAATAACCACTAAACCCCCAATTCACAACAATAAAAAGAGGTGGATAAAACTTAACATACATATTAATTTAGTCATTTTGACATAGAAATCACTTCAAATATATACTTGCAATTATATCTTGGCTAAGCACACACATTTAATCACAATAACATCAATCTTAGGCCAAGATATGCAACACTTCACATATTCTTATGCAAGTGATAACAAAATAATGTCATGTTTCTAAGTTAGCATTATATTATAGCATATTTGTTACAAACCCAAAAAGAGGAAAGGGAAAGCTATACAACAATGCTCTTTACTCTTTAGTCGCTGCTCCTTCCTTCCTTCCCTTTACCCTTACCGAAGCCTCACCTATAAAATATAGCCACGGGGTGAGATAAATATCTCAATAACATAACAGAATAATTCACTACTATTAATTAACATGCACAACCATAGGGAAGTCAAGCTATTAAGCACCAAAATATACTTTAGCATATTACACAGCATACTCATTTCCATGAATACAAGTCATTTCAATAGCTGATCATTTCATCATCCAAGCCTCCATATCACCCCGACTAAACCATAGGCTATTGAACCAAGTGCACATCCACAATGGTTCGAGCTTACTTCAGTGGTAGGATCACCTAGCCAAAGGTGTCTTATCCTACTTTTGAACTATGGTTTTT